ATAGTGAATATCTGTGATTTTTTTTTAACTTTGTTTTTCTGTTTTCTATTCAAGACTCCGATTTTAAAGAATACAAAAAACATACAAAATACTCTTTAAATTGTATGTAATCGTGTTTTTAAAAGTTTCTAGCTGTTGAAGCTTGTACCCTCTGTACTAATAAAACTTCTCACAGACCTCAGTTCTGTCTTTCAGAGTAAAACCATCAGCTCAACTTCAAACTAGTGATGTTCGATACTGCCAATTTTCTTCCCAATACTGATACCGAGTAAAATTTGGCTGGCATCGGTGATACTGATCCGATACTGATACTTTGTCCTAACACACATAATGTGTCTGTTAAATCTTAAAAAGTAAATAACCGCTTTATAAATAATACATGACATAGTAATTTATTTAATTTAAAAGTCTTTCTAACCCTAACCTTATATTTGTTTAGCACAATTCTTATTCTTACTCTAAAGAAATATAATATTTTTGAATAGTGAATAAAAGTAAGAGAAAACAGTCTAAAAGTTGTTACTTTGATTATTTTGTAGCATTGTTTGTAGGTTTGCAAGAAAGTCCTTGGCCAGAGCTAATCCTGTTTGGGGAGTCATGGCATGAAAAAGTCTGGGAGCTAGAATTTAATTACAGTCAGACAAAGTAATTTTTTTCTTAAAATGACCTGCCATACATCTACAGACTGACTGACTGAGCATGTGCCACTGTGCTGATGCATTACTACCCAAGCAGGAGAACAAGTAATTCCCTCCAACCACATATGATTAAGACAAGATTTGAATAGTTTAGTTATTTTCCACTATACTGCTGTTAATGATATACATTATTTGAAATAACTGAAGTATCAAAGTATTGATACTTCGATTATAGTATTGATTCTAGAACCTAAAGTTCTGGTACCAGTAGTATCGATATTTCAGTATCAATCTGCACATCACTACTTCAAACCTGTTGTGCGTGATTACACTGAGGATTTTTACGTGTTCCTGTTTAAAATACAATCAAAAAATTAAAAATATATAAAAACGACATTTACAGATAAATGTGCCTTATGTATCGATTTTTGAGTGTATGTTATTATGAAGTTAGCAAACAAGAAAATATTCACATGCCGTAATCGTAATGATTGGTGAACTGACGCACCACAGATAAAGGCTGTATCTCAATTCATGGGCTGGGTCCTCATGAGGACACAGCCTAGCTGGGCCACATAGGCCACATCCTTGCTGGGCCG